AACGGTTTGGATGGTGAAGATGGAAAGGATGGAAAAACTGCTAAATCATGGATATGGAACCTTATAAATACTGGTTTAACAGCTGCTTCATATGGAGTTCTTCAATACCAAATCGGAAAGATATGGGCAGTACTTGGTGAAGAAGCTTTAGATGACGTTAAAAATGCTTTGAACTTCATTTCAAATGGTTCGGATACTATTAAAACTTTATCTGGTTGGATGCAAGAAACAAGGAGTCAAATAGATACTGTAAGACGTATAGCAAACAATGCACGTACGGGATTGGATACTTTACGAGAAGCACAAAATACACTAAAGGAAGCAAATGATATTCTTGGCTCAGTATCAGACATGCATGAAGATTGGCTTAAAGGTATTGACAAATCTTTAAAAAATCACAGTCAGTCTATTGCTGACTACAAGAAAAGTATAGATTTTTTACATAGTGCTATGGACGTACATGATGGAAGCATAAGGAACTTACTTAATGCTAACAATAACTTACCAGGAACTATTAAAGCATTTATAAAGTCCTTTGTAAAACCTGGTGCTCTAACATTTAGGTCTTTGAGAGCAAGAGCATTGAAGTCAAGAGATGCAGAAACTCCAACAGAACCTACAGAAGGAACTGAAACAACAGAAACTCCAGAAGAACCACCAAAACCAACAGCTAATGAAATATTGTTCGAATATTTTCCAAGGTACTCTGTTCTCATTGCATACATTCAAGAAATACTTAAGAAAGCAGACTTGACTTTAGGAGATGATGAAAGTTCTGTATATCTTTCGTTCCAGTTTCAAATAGCAGAACTTTTGAGACAGATATGCTTAATGTATGACAACATCTCTGATTTCACAAGATATGATGACGACCATGACCCCGAACACGGTGAAGAAGAAGTTTTACAAACATCCATTAAGACAGGAAAAGTTTTAACACAAAGTCTCATTATTGACACCGAAGATGGTGAAGTGGATGTTCTTCAAGAGCTGAAGAAAAATACTTCTGAAGGAGGTGGTGGTAGGCATGAACTTGAAATAAATGAGATAGAAGAGAAATTAGCCGAAAAAGCAGATAAAAACCATGTTCATTATATAAGTTCAGACGAACAAATTATAACGGACTACCACGGATATTTAATACAGGATGAACAAATAAGCACTGAAGATGTTAATGAAAGAAGATATAAATTCATTCGTGCTAAAGGTTATGACATACACTGTACTGTACAGTATGACACAGGTAAAGCACCAGAAGCATTTGGTTATAACAATGAAATTTATGCTTCATACTTCTTTGTTAACGGTGTATTAGTTGAACCAAGATTTACATTGAGAGTTAAGACAAAAATAACTTTTGAAGATGCTATTAAAAGTAAAGCTGACAAAGATGAACTTGACGCAACGAACAAAGTTTTGAAATCTCATAAACACAATATCTCCGATATAAATGAACTTCAAGCTACATTAAATAGTAAAGCTGACAAGAACCATACACACGAATCCTTCACTACTGTTAGAGCAGACGACATAATATTGAACTATACCCTTGGTTCAAGTGCACCTTTAGAGAATCCAAGTACAAGCGTAAAAGATACACTAAACTCCTTAAATAACAAATGTATGAACATTGAAGGTCATGTCAGAAACTTTGAAACACATGAACTACCAGCAATGTTAGATAAAAAAGCAGATAAAGAACATACACATAACTCCTTCTCAACTGTTGCTATAGAAAGTATTGAAGGAACGGTTGGCGGAACTGGTGGGGATGCATTATATTATAAACCTCCTAACTTTCCACAAGGTTTAACATCGAATGAAAACATAACAACGACGAAAGAAATTAGCTGTAAAAATGTTTATGTCATGGATGATGAAAATAATGTTAAATTCACTGCTCAAGATTTATATGATAAGAAAGCAGACAAAACAGAGCTTCAAACATTAAAGACTGAAATACTTCAAACATTATATCCTATAGGTTCTATTTATACGTCAATGAACTCAACAAATCCCGCAACAGTTCTGGGTTTTGGTACATGGCAGCAGATTGTAGACAAATTCTTATACTGTGCTAACTCTTCAAAGCAAACAGGAGGTTCGAAGAAAATTACTGAAGCAAACTTACCTGCGCACACTCATACAGGAACTACAAACTTTTCTGGCGACCATAGCCACTCATTAAGAGACCACCCATTATACAACTCAGACTATGAAGCTGGCAATGATGTTTTATCTCCATCTTATAACAATTCAGCAAAAAAGACTTTTCGACCAACTGAACCAGGAGGAAATCATGTCCATACTTTCACAACAAATCCAACAGGCTCGGGTGAAGATTATATGCCACCATTTATGACTGTATTCGCATGGTACCGTACAGCTTAAAATCTTTATTTTTACATAAATGAGCTTGAAAGAAGTATTCGAACAACATCCATGGAGGTCATTTAAGAAGTTCAATGAAGCTGCAAAGAGTTGAGGATTTACTAACAGAGCTGAAGTTAAAAAGTTCTTTGACAAAAATGTTGTACATCAAACAAAAATAAACCCTTACGACTACTTTTTACCAATTTACTCCAACACTCCTGACGCATACCAATTTGACACTCTCATTCAAAGCAGAAAAGGAGGACATAAACCATTCCTCATCTTCATAAATGTTAACACTCGTAAAGCATATGCATATCCAATGAGGAATAAAGGAACTCGTGAAGTGTTAAGAGTTTTACAAAAGTTTGTAGCAGAACATAACCCAAGTACTTTAACATCAGACCAAGACGGTGCATACCTCAGCAATGAAATCACAGATTTTCTCATTAAGCATAACATAACTCACTACACTACTGAAGACCATAACCATAACATACTCGGCATCATAAACCGCTTCATAAGAACGCTCAGAGATTTAAATCAAGAGCGAGACTTTACCGAAGAAACAATGAAACATTTTCTCGAAGTATATAATTCCTCAACACATTCTACAACAGGACATACACCAAATTCAATGACACAACAACAAGAAGAAAAGTATATACAAAAGAAACGAAGCCAAACACAAAATATCAGAAATTCAACACAATTTACCCTCATTCCTGGTACAAAAGTTCGTGTAGTTCTTGACGACAAACCGTTGACAAAGAAACGTTTAAGGTTAAGTCGAAATTATTATATCGTAGACTCTACGCAAGGTAATGGATATCTTATAAAAGCTGCTGACGACTCCATTGCATTTTACCCTCGACATAAATTAGTCGAAAGTAGTAATGGCAAACTTGCTGAAACCATTGACGAAGCAAAGCGAGGAGTGGTTATTGAAATACTTGGCTACAACATAAACGATGACACTTATAAAGTAAGATATGAAGGAGGCGTTGAAGATGTTATACCATCTAAGAACTTGAGAGAATCTAAACCAACTCATCTGGGACCATTAGAGCGGGAGTACTGGAAAGATAAAAATAAGCCAGAAAGAATAAGAAAATTCTTCTAAACTTTTTCATTAGATGTAAATCAGACATGAACGAGAACAGTCATGATATCATTAATGGTACCATTTATTTTAACATTAAGACGCAAAGCGGCGGGGCATAGCCATGAACAAAAATAATGTTTAGGGTAGATGGTTAGATCTAACCTCATTTCTACCCTCATTTCTACCCTCAGCCGCTAAGCGGCGAGACCCAAAGGTCTTGAATTTTCATGAATTTCCTTAAGACAAAAAAATAAAGTTAGTTTTATTTTTATTTATTTTTTTATTTTGTATGTAAGAACAGAAATGTCAGTCGAAGCAAAAACATTCACTAACAAATATAATGGCGAAACATTCACAAAAGGCACTTATAACGGTATTGAAGTCTTACGTAGAGACAAGGATGGTTACATTAATGCAACAAAGATGTGTCAGCAGTTTAGGAAAGACTTTAGAAAGTTGTTGGAAAATAAGTCCTGGGAAGAGTATTATAAGGCGTTTTGTGAAGAATATAGCAACAGTCCGAATTCCGGCGGTTGCTTTTTATACAAAATTCATGCAGGAATTCCTGATGAAATCAAACAGGTTAGAGGAACGTATGTAGACCCAAGACTTATAAACTATATAGCAATGTGGGCTTCTCCAAAATATTGCATAGCAGTTGGAAAAATTATGGACTCCATAGACAAGAAAGTTCATGAGAAGTTAGATGAAGAAGAATTCGAAGATACAGTAGAGAATGCAAAATATTTGTTTGAAGAAGAAGTTAGAAAAATGCATGAAAAACAATTAGAACATGAACGTGAGATATGTTATGGTTATAGAGATTCTCCATACGAACTAGACCAATGGGAACAAGAAGATTTAAAGAGACAATTTAGAGAATATGAACTCGCTAAGATAGCATTAGAAGCTGCAGAAAAGAAGTTAAAAGTTTGGGGTCGTTTTGTACAAAAATATTGTGAGTAAATGAACCATTTATTTTTATTGAATTCACCAAAAATAATGTTTAGGGTAGATGGTTAGATCTAACCTCATTTCTACCCTCATTTCTACCCTCTTGAATTTTCATGAATTTCCTTAAGACAGAAAAAATAAAGTTAGTTTTATTTTTATTTATTTTTTTATTTTGTATAAAAGAACAGAAATGTCAACAATCGGCACAACAACAATTCAAACAACAGCACCAAACTCGTTAGTCATGAATCCAACATCTATGTTAGTAGAGATGAAAAGCTTCATTCCTTCTTCATTTACTTTCGAAACAGAAATACAAAGAATAAAGCAAGAACTTTTAACAAGTAATTTAGACTGTACCGCACAGGATGAAGAAAATGAAGAATATCTTTATGACATGCAGGACATTATTGACCATTTACCCAAATTGCCTGAAATCCAACAACAAAAGCTCACTATTCCTGAATTCGATGAAATAGAAGTGAAACCAACTGACTCAGTAGAAATAAAGAAGTTCATACGAAAGGTAAATTATGAGTTTCTAGGATATCATTGCAACCATAAAGTTATGGACAAAGATTGCGACATGGTATATAAGAACATCTCTGACATATATAAATCTGGGGAGTTTAAGACATACGACAACTTTGTTTCATTAGTTGCAAAATGTGTATGGCAGATAAGAGATAAAGATAGAAGAGGTAAGGTATGGAATGAACAGATAAAACCAACTGCTTCAGATTTAAAGAAAACCATTGACGCCTTAGTTGTTTTAGCAGGTAAGGTTTCAGAATATAACGCAAAAATGAATCCGCAATGTTCTAAATGTAAAGCAGCAATTAGGAAATATAACTATTCAGTAAAACAGATAGAACGTATGAGAAACGACTATGCAGATTTAAAGAGGGAGGCAGAGAAACCAGCAGAAGATAAAATGGACATGTTAGAATTTCTGAACAAAAACTATCCAACTGCTGACGATTTCCTTCTATCTGATGTCAAGAAGAAGTATAAAGAAACTTTCGTATCGTTTAAAATTTTTGATGTACTAAAAGAAGAAATTTTTGATATCCTCAGCGAAGAAATAGAAGCTACAAAACTGTTTAGAGTCTCACGAATTCATAACGTTTACCATGTAAAACGGTTATAAATAACTGTGGTAGAAATGAGGGTAGATATCGGGTTAGATCTAACCATCTACCCTAAACATTATTTTTATTGAATTCAGCAACAAATTTCTGAGTAAAATAATTTTTAGGGCACGTGTCAAACCGTTGATTTTCACAAAATTTAAAAAAATAACGTTTACCATGTAAAACGGTTATAAATAATGAGGGTAGAAATGAGTGTAGAAATGAGGTTAGATATAACCATCTACCCTAAAAATTATTTTTGCTGAATTCAGCACAAAAATAATGAATTTCATTAGTTAGAAAAATAAAGTTATTTTATTTTTATTTATTTTTTTATTTTGTATGTAAAGACAGTAATGTCAACATCAGAGAACACAACAACAGTTATAGTCCATGAAGCTATAAATGAAGAATACGAGTACATACAGTATAACAAACAGTTACGTCTCATTCGTTCGTCAAAGACGATATGTACCAAATGCAAGTATAATGAATGCTCTTCGTTCTACAAAGCAAGCATATCATTGGTTTGAAAACAACAGACAAAAGAACTTTTAGAAGAATTTCCTCATATGATTGCTTCCCTCGGAAAACCGAGAGAAGAGATTCCGTACGAAAATCGCAAGAATTTGGCTCCTGGTTGAAAGGTTATTATATTCATAGACTTTTAGTAAATGCTGTAGCAATGTGGCTTCACCTCGTTATGCTTGTTATATTTTCATGATGTTAGATGAACTATATAAAGCAGAACGTGAAGAGATGGAAAACAAGCTTGAAGCAAAAGACAAAAGCATTCAGAAAAGAATACCACGTTCGGTACCAAAAGGAAAGGAAAAGAACTATAAGTATATGATTTATACTGAAGAGTTGGAGAAAGAAGAAGACAGTACATGGTTATGTTGCATTTATCAGAAGAAACAATAAAGCTTTTACGACCTTGCTAAGATTTACAAATCTGACAGAAATTGGTTCTATCGCGAAAACTTACCGATTTCAATGACTCAGAATGAAGATGTGAAACAAATAGTCAAGATACGTTACCTCAAACACACTATGACATCAAAGGTTGCACAATACTTACATTCAAAGAAGGCTTAACATTACTGAAGGAAAAAATAACAGAATATTTCGATAACTTCAAAGAGGAAGAATAAAAAAATCTACGCTAATTTTATTTTTTTTATAAATTTTATCTCATATGAAAGAACATGAATTTAGAATATTCGGAACTCATGACAGAAGAAGAGAACGAACAACATGTAAAAGATTATGCAAAATTTCTGAAGATATACAAAGCATTTAAACAATATCTAAATGCTTCTAAAGATTATGCAAAATTTCTGAAGGTATATAAAGCTTATGAAAAAGCGTATGAAAAGTTTATACATTGGGGAATTGTTGTAAAATATTGATATGAAGACTAACCAAAAATATATTTTTGCTTAAATAACGTCAGGGTCAATTTCTTCAACCATTTCACTTCCTTCGTCAATGTCAATAGAAGCTTCTTCAACCTTTGGTAAGAATTTCTGTATAACATCTTTGTTCGTTATTGTCTTCAGAGATGAAGGATAATATTTCACATTTGTTTCACCTTTCTTATATTCTTTCTGTTCGGAAAGATTTAAAGCAATACTGAAGAAGTCAATGTTAGAGTTCTTTATGACAGTATAATGAGTATCTTTGACATTCACGAAGAAACTCTTTTGTTTCAAAACTACTGCTAACTCTTGTGAAGTATAACGTTTGCGGTCAATGACGATAGCTAATGGTCTGACATACTGACCAAACTTAGATTCTTTCACAAACTTCTTGTTAAAGATAACATTAACGTTTGCAGCACCATTGAACTCATTCTTGATGGCAGTAGCGAGAGCATTGTATGAAAAGAACTTGCAATCTTGCATGTGTTTCATTAAAATAAAAATATTAAATTATTTTGAAAAATAACTTAAAAAATCTAATCTAATTTTTTCAAAAAATATTTTTTTATTTCCTACTAAAGATGTATCGGAAGTTGTCTAAGTTAGAACACTCGGAAATAAAACAACTTCTTACAGAAGCTAATATAGATGTTGCAAAGCATTACGCAACAAACAAAAAAGCACTCGCTGATATCCTCAATGACTATAATGGTGCAATAAGTTATGATAGAATTCATGAGTTCATAAAGCCGCAACGCGGCGAGGACGAAGTCCATGCAAGAGCATTTCCTTTAAATGACGTTGCTATTGACTATTATATCATAGACGTTCAGTACCTCATGAAGTAAGAAGAGAAATGTTTGACATAACAAATGCGAACGTTGGTCATACTCGTAAAGCTCTTTCTCATGACGTTCGTCAAGAGATGTTTGAACTTACGAACTCAAACGTTGGTGAAACAAGAAGAAGAGACGACACACTGAAACAACAGAGAAGAGAGATGTTTAAAAGTGCTATAGAACAAGTTCGCAAAGCTAACGATGTCATTCGTTCCATTGACGACAAACCAAAAGAAGGTGAGAGATGGTTAAAGAAAGATGAAGAGAATAGGAAGAGAAATGTGAAGTCAGGCAATAGACTCATTGACTTTAACATCGAAGCTTTAGATGAACCAAACAGAGACTACTTACACAAACATTTCGGTAAGGTTTTCATGAGACTCTTAGAGAAAATTAAAATAAACTCACAACAGAGATGGATGGTATGTTATAAACTTGGTGGAAAGTATGAATGTTCTACGTTAAACCTCAATAATATTGGAACATTACTACATCAGCTCTTGAAGGAGAACTTTATATCAGAGATAGAAGCAAATGCTGCAGGTATTGTTGAAATGCACTATGACTTCTTCTTGACAAACATAAAGAATCTTACTGAAATAAAGATGTATGATTTAACAGAATATGAAGGCTTAACGATGTCAGATGTAAAGAAAGGCAAACCAAAAAAGAGACCATATAGAGATGAAAGCACACTGACAAATGACCAGAAAGCCATTTTGGAAGCTCTTAAGCAAACAGGAAACCCAGCACTTATAGAAAGCTTTTGGAAAGATAATGGTGAAAAGAAGTTTTATAAGAAGAGAAGCGGTCAGTTCTGGAAGTATCTTTGCACATTACCTATAAATCTTGAACGCTACCAAATCTTCAATGAACTGAACAAAAGAACTGCAACACTTATGACAGAAGACAATTGTTTCGTTTATGCTTGCATTCAGGCTGGAGTAGATGAGAACTATTGACCACATGAGAGAAGTCATTCGTGTTAGAGACTTTCCTCAAAGTAAAGTACAAGAAATTTCTGACGCAACAGGTATAGCATTTAATGTTACCATTGGTTATTTCAATGACTCAAGACATAATGAAATAAAGAGATACATACCAAAAGAATGTAAAACTGTTCGAACTATTGACTTACTTCTTGTTGAAGACCACTACATGCTAAACGAAAGATTACCAATGACAACATATTTCATTCGCAACTATATAGAAATCTTGAAGGAGTGTGGTGGAATGAACATTGAGAAACAGATGAAGATTTATACAAAGAGAGAGAAAATATGTAGTTCGTTATGATAGAACAACACCGTTATGGGATGTTATGAAAACATTGTGGGAGTGCAAATATTTCGAACCTATTTCTTATGGAGAACTTTTCACATATACGACTGACTTATATAAACAGAACCTTGCACCATTTAAAGATTTGACATATGCTCCAAAGTATTGTGTACAACTGAAGAAGAAAGCCGAGTCAAAAGAAGTAAATAAAAATAAGTGCAAGTTCATTCCTGAGCACGTTTTCTTTGCTGACTTTGAGTGTAGTACGATGGCTTTCATAAAGCTTTTAACATCTGTTATGACAGTGAAGATGGTTCAGTGAGTGAAAGCATTTGGGGTCAGAACTGTGCAACAGAATTTTTGGAGCGACTTCCTGACAAGAGTTTAATATATTTCCATAACCTCAGTTATGATATAAAATCTTAAGACACATGACAGAAGTGAAAGGAACTCCCATCATTAAAGGTTCACGAACAATGCAAATAACTGGCTTATATAAAGGAAGGGCAATTATTATAAAAGACTCTTACAGTGTTATAAATAAGAAGCTTAAACTATTTCCTGCTATGTTTAACTTACAAACAGGACCGAAAGAAGTATTTCCATACAACTACTACAGCAGTGTTTTGTTAGCAAATGACAACAGAACTGGTGTCATTTCTGAAGCATGTAAGTTTATCCGGATGCGATACGTTCATGAAAAACATAGATTCCATCAAAGGTTGCAGAATAGATGAAAACCACTTCGACTTAGAAAAGTATAGCACATTTTATTGCAAACAAGATGTAAGAATTTTAAGAGAAGGTTTTGTTAAGTTCCGCAATGACATATTGAAAGAATTTGATTTAAACGTTTATGACTACGTTAGTATTTGTTCAATTGCTAACAAATTATTTGAGAACAGAGTGTACTTCCCGAATGGAAATTTATATGACCTCTCAAATAAACCAAGAGAATTTATTTCGAGATGCATTCAAGGTGGAAGATGTATGTTGTCAGATAACATGAAACAAAAGAGTAAAAAAACTCATTGCTGATTTCGACGCTGTTTCATTATATCCATCAGCTATAGCAAGACTTTATACTTTAGAAGGTATTCCAAAGGTTATGAAGAAAGAAATGTTAAGCACAGAGTATCTCATGAGACATTTATTCGATGACGACCAAAAGGAACCCATTGGTGAAAAGTTTATGTCTGGCTTCTTTGTTCTCATTAAGATAACAGAGATTGGAATACATAGACACTTTCCTTTAATAGTTTGTGACCCTGAACTAAATCCAGAACTTAACGTTCCCAGAAGTTCAAACACTTGCTGTTTAATGTATGTTGACCATATAACATTACAAGACCTCATAAAATATCAAGGTGTCAAATGTGAAGTGTTGCAAGGATACTATTACGATGGAAACAGAGATATTAGAATAAGAGATGAAGTAAAGAAGTTGTTTGAGTTAAGGTTAAAATATAAGAA